TGCAGCAGATTCTCAATAGGAATAAGGAAACACTGCAGCAGATTCTGAATAGGAATAAGGAAACACTGCAGCAGATTCTGACTAGGAATAAGGAAACACTCCAGCAGATTCTCAATAGGAATAAGGAAACACTCCAGCAGATTTTCAATAGGAATAAGGAAACATTCCAACAGATTCTCAATAGGTATAAGAAAAATTGCAGCAGATTCTCAATAGGAATAAGGAAACACTGCAGCAGATTCTGACTAGGAATAAGGAAACACTCCAGCAGATTTTCAGTAGAAATAAGGAAACATTGAAGCAGATTCTCAATAGGAATAAGGAAACATTGCAGCAGATTCTAACAGAGGATTTGTGAATGAAAAAAAAAAAACAAGTCATACAAATATCTTATCAAAAGATAAGGTCAGAAATGCACAAATTTCCTTATATTAATATGACAGACACAGCCAGAAATAAATGGGCAGAGAAGAAAAATCACAACAAACACTGGGAAAAATCCTTGTAAAATCTGGTTAACTCCAGAGTTGCTGAGGTTGACATGTGATGGCTATTAATAATAATAACACTGTTAAGTGACCTCACCAAGAATAAATCTTTGGCCATACTGAGACAGAGAATGAAAGACAAATGATAAGAGGCCGCATACAAATTCTTACCAATAAAACAAAAACACCATATCATATAAACTGAAATATATATATATATATATATATATATATATATATATATATATACTAGAAGCATTAAAAATGCTGAGGATACCATCAACCAAAAAATGAAACAAAAAGAAAACTCATACTTAACATCAGGAAGAGGCAGCTGAAATTTCTAGGGCATAAAATGAAGAAGGAGGGCTTGGAAACTTTGATACTCACAGGACAGATTAAAGGACAGAGGAAAACAACGCATGACATACTTAGCGAGCTTGATTAAATGGATGGTAGGACAGGGTTTGGAAGAAATAGCAGAAAGACAAAATTTATTAAAAGCTACAAGGAGCAGGAAGATATAGAGGGCCATGATTGCATACATCCTAATGCACATAAAGAAGAAGCATTAAACAAAAAAAAATCAACCAATAAAATGTAGCAAAGTTTAACAATTGTACCTGAAAAAATTATTGTCAAAAGACTGTTTTTCTCTTGTCACCGTTATTACTGTATACTCCCTTGGCAATTTTTGTTGTTTTAAAAAACAATTTTTAGAATTTTAATAAAATCAAAACATATGAAACTGTATGTAGGTATTTTCTTTTTTTTCTTGAGAATGACAACAAAAATGTTAAACATTGTTTATTTACAAGATTAATTTTATATTTACAAGATTATAAAAATATGTTAACCAATGACAAGGCAATATTTATTATTCAACATATTATAAAGAAATAACTACGGAAACAATTTATAAAAAAAGATCATAACAAATATCTGTGAACAAGAAAACTTAAATAAACACATAATGACGAGTAATTGTAATTATAAATATTGCAAAAAGAAAATGACGTATGCATAAATCTGTGCATTTTCCAGACATTTCTTTCATTTGTTCTTGTCAAAAATTCACTAAAATAAGGTGAGAGCATTTAAATTTAAACATGCAATTTTTTGGTTCAAAATTTCTAATTTAACAGTTACTTGTCTTTATGCGTTTATGAAATTTTCTTGTTCAGACAATATGGCAAATAATAAATATTGCATTGTAGTTGTTCTTATATTTTTATAATCTGTCTATATCTCTGAGATGAGGTATTACGATTACTTACATTATTTTCATTATTCAGACTGTTATCCTCATTTTTATTACCAAATTCATAGCGTTTTGGCCGTTGTACACTCAGGCCTTCTTCAAGTGATTGGAATTTTGAACTGAACCCTTTATTTCAGCGACCAGGGTAGATTGTTCTAGTTCCACGTGCCATGACTCTTCCAGATGACGCAGTTATTTCCCTTTAAGTCAAATCTTCTTGGCTCACCACTGCTGTGGCCTGGTATTGAATACACAAGTCTTTGGGTCTAGTCACTGAATCTAACCAACGTCTTTATCCACTGGGATAAAAACAGTGGTTGGTAGATAAAGACATTGGTTAGATCCAGTGACTAGACCCAAAGAGTTGTGTGTTCAATACCAGGTCACAGTAGTGGTGATCCAAACTTGGTGAGTTGAGTTAAAGGGAAATAACTGAGACATCTGAAAGAGGCGTAGCACTAGAACAATCTACCCCCGTGGATGAAATAAAGGGTTTGGTTCAAAATTCCAATCACCTGTTGAATAGATATTATAAACTAATAAATAAATAGTACTAATCTACCAAAGGATTGAACTCACATATACTGTGCCACCGAATTCGCAAAAAAATGCTTTAATCACTTAAGCTATTGTCTTGTGCAACAATCCTGGAGCTAGAATTTGGAGAATTAAACCTAATATTCTTATCTCCTCTTCTGCTGCTACAGCCCTGCAGTTAAACTTCACTCTCATCACAATTGCTTCTTTCTTATTACTGCTTAAGCCTTGCTGCTAAACTTGGCTCTCTCTGCCATTGCTTCTTTCCTACTATTATTGCTTAAGCCTTGCTGTTAAACTTGGCTCTCTCTGCCATTGCTTCTTTCCTACTACTGCTTTTGCTGCTGCTTAAGCCTTGCTGTCAAACTTAGCTCTCTCTGCCATTGCTTCTTTCCTACTATTATTGCTTAAGCCTTGCTGCTAAACTTGGCTCTCTCTGCCATTGCTTCTTTCTTTATTTATGAGATGCAAATGGTCTTCATTTTATTATTTTTTCATTAGATGAAGGATTATCAAGCAGAGTATTTACTGCCATCTTTTATCGCAACTCCTATCAGGGCCAAAGAGTATAGATAAGAAAGAAAGGATAAGCTTTTAGTGAAGGTCAAGTTCACCTCCTTTCTTGCCTCGGGGAACAAAACAGATTCTCCAAGTGAGCTACAAGAGCACACTAACAAAAGATTAGCTCTAACCCTTTAGGCTCCTCCCTCATTCCATGATCTCTCTCAACATCATATTTATTTTGGTTTTACACATTATAAACAATAAGGAAGTTTCAAAGGGGAATGGGAACAAAAAGGACACAATCAGAAAAAGTTGAAATTTCTGGAACAAAAATAAGGAAGGCTGGCTTCGAAAATTTAACACTCAAAGGACACTTTGAAGAGAAGAGGGCAGCAAGTAATCTACCTAACAAGCTTGTGTAAATGATTGGCAGAAAAGAGATTTGGAAGGATAGTAAAGAGACACTGCTTAAAGTTACAAATAATAGGAAGCTGTGGAGAACCGTGATTGCACTAGTTCTGAAGGGGCAGGTACCAGGAAAATAGTATTGGTAACAGTAATATTATCCTAATTTTTTTTTCATAAATATTATCAGACATTATAATCATGAATCTTGACTTGTGTCGATTAAGTATAAACATAGGTTTTAATATTTGTGCTAAAATATACTCAAAATAAAATCTATGTAGATATGAACCAAAATTAATACCGTCCTAGGTATAACAATAAACTACATCCGCGTCCTGGGTAAGACAATGGACCACATCTAACAGCAGGGTCTCAGGTTGGGTGATTTTGGAGAGCATGGAACCACCTCTTAATTGTTGGTATTCCTGGGTCCACCCTGACCCAGGGTGGTAGCACCTGCTGGGGTCCCAGCTATGGGCAAATGGTTGCACCCCCGACAAGAGGAGTCAAAGCACTGTGAAAGTATAAACATAGGTTTTAATACTGCAGTGCTTTTTTGGAAAAATTTTTTACCAGCAATACATTTAGGGGTGTTACCTGCAATACATTTTTGACAAAAAAAAAAAAAAAATATTGCCAGCAATATATTTTTGGAAAAAGGGAATGTTGTCAGCAGTGCATTTTTGAAAAAAGAATATTTCCAGCAATAAAAATCTTGTCAGCATTAAATAACCCATTGAAGTTGATATGCCATAAACCAAACCAAACCAGTATTAATAAAAGGACATTATTTTAAACATGTAATTTACCAGGATAATTATATTGAACTGAATATATTTAAATGAGGCTCTCAATGTGCATGTGAAGAAATAAAAAGTCAATTATAATTCATTTTTCTAAAGATCTTCAAAGTACTTCATATGATGTATAATCTGCTGTTTGTATTTAACTCTCAGCATTCCAGTAAGGCATTTCTCCTATAAGAGTCTATACTTAAACGTTATTTTTAGTAAATACACATATTTGAGTAGACATTCTGTTGAAGGCCAGTAGACAAAAAAAAATGATGTTTAATAAATAAATGGAGCCTCTACTCAAGTATAGGTATCCACTAAAAATAATGTTTAAGTATAGAACATTATAAGAGAAATGCCTTATAGGATGCTAAGTATGTTAAATACAGAACATTATAGGTAAATAAAATCTGTCAGATTAATAAATAAAAATCCATCATTTCTTTAGAAATTGTTTTGTTTACATTAGGATACAAAACTGAGCAGATATGAATATTTCGAGAGTCTGCAAAAAATTTACGTTTGTAAGGCCCTATTCAACTTTGCTTGATTATCAATGCAATTCATGGCTGAGATGGTCTAAAGCACATTGGCTCTATTGACAGCTCCCTCTGCCCAGGGGTACACAGGTTCAAATACTGCAAAAAAAAACGCATATTTTTCTTTAACCTTAGAACACTAACCATCAATTAAAGTTATACTACTACTAACCATGGGTATATCATACCCGATTTTGAAAATATCAAAAAAAATATTAAATATAAATCTTTATTTGAAATATTTTACATGCAGGCACCTTAAACTATGTACTTTGTGTTAACATTAATAATAAACATATTATTTAGGTAAGAAAATCAGGTACTGAAAGTTGTAATTAAAAATAGGAAAATTTGGACTGGATACTATATACCCATGGTTAGTATTCTAGGGTTAATAAGATTTCTTGAATATTCAGGCTGGTAAACGAAAATAAATATACTGCTTAATGAACTGTCCACACATCCAAGTTTACAACACCTGGTATTCCCAAGTGGTTACCCAACTAAGTATTGACCAGGCTCAACATTGCTTAACTTCAGTGATCATATGGGAACCAATGTTTCAACTATGATGGAGCCATAAGCCACACAGAGTAAGAGGCAGAATTTATGAGGATATCTAAGGAAGATAACAGTTAACCCTAGACTTGAACAGCTTAAGATTGTAGTGTTTGGGAAAACATCTCCAAAGTATCAGTTCCTGAGGAGAAGCTATTCAAGTGGAATTTTCATCTCACCAAAGTTATACAATGTGGGTGGTTCACTAAAATATGTGTGACATATCAGGTCTTTGCCGTGAAAGATAGAACTGGTAGAACTAAGGAATCTTGTTCAACTGCTTTGTGATCTGTGGGAAAAGGTGTCGTAGAGTAGAAAAGTAATTCATCACCCACAAGGTCATGTTGTTGTTGTTTTTGAACTATAGTGGGTCTGGAAAGTGAAGACTGGGCAGCACATACCCATATATGGCAGCAGTACTCCATTTTTGGCCTGATCTGGTTCTTGTAAAGATAGAGAAGAACAGGAGTCAGGTACTTTCTGGAATGCTACAGGGAACTAACTATTCTCTCGGCATCTTTAGCAATGGATCGTGTGTACGAGTTCCACTTGAGGTTTGGGTTGCTTAAAGCACAGGGGTCCCTGAGAAAAAAAAACCATTCATCACTATAGGCAAAAATTATGGGTCCACTCGGTGATGATGGAACATCACTAGTTTGATTTGCGACACAATGAATGTGACCAACCAACATTAGGTCAGAGGAGAGATCAGCCACCAGGCTCTAGTCATTTAGAGTTTTGGAGATGCACCTATATATCACTGTACCATCAGCATAGATATTCACAAAAGATCAACATATATTCTTAGACAGAGCATCAATATAAAGTAGAAATAATGTTAGACCAAGAACTGAGCATTAGGGGATACCTGTGTTGATCACATGGGCCTTTTTGGACTGGTTGTTAATGTAGAATATTGGTTAGCTTACAAGTGGTCTGACACACAAGTAGACTAGTATAATCACGAGTAAAAACTGACCTGAGTCATTTAATGGAAAGATATATGGGTGAATAGAAACCACTCATGCAAATGTGTTGGGCAGGTCCATTTTAGCAAAATGGACCAACCCAACTGGTGCATTAGGTACTCTCCTATAAATGAGGTAAAATTAGCTGGCTTGCTTTTCCAACAAGACACAAGAAGGCAGCCATGTTAGCAGGTAAGTCACTTGACTTCTACAGTTAACAACCACCTTCAGAGATCTACTCATTAAGAACTCTTCCAGTGACTCTATAACTAGAGATCTTGTGCAGCAATCCTCTATGCCACACCTTGTCAAATGCTTTCGAAATATCTAGTGTGATTGTCCTTGAAATGTATTTATTGTCTAGTTAGGAAATCAGCAATGGGCTGAGCCAAAGGAAATCTGTACTGCTTGTTGCCAAAGAGGTTGTCTCTATGGAGGCGATTAAGAATCTATTTGTTGATTATAACTTCAAAAAGTTTGCTAATGACAATGACGAGGCTGATGAGTCAATACTGAGATGAGGATGAACTCTAACCACTTTCGCCCCAGCCCCTCAACCTCTGACATCTTCCTCTCTGGGTTGAGGTGTCTACTCGGTCTTAACTGAACTTAAGGGAGTGACCGTAGGTCTCAAGCATCCGTAGATCATTCGACCGGTCCGCTGGTTTAATCCTGCTTCCTGGAGAGTCTGTGCTAAGAAATTTAGAATGCACCAAATAAATATATATCTGCAGCAAGCTGAACAAACAACTATTCAATGGTTGAATTGTTAATGTCTTTTATATAGCAGAAAAGAATAGTATAGAAAAGGAATGGGTTATAGAAAAGAAAATAATTTACGTAAAAACTCATACACTGGGTTCTAGACACAGAGAAGAGTGGGTTGTGATTAGTTTGTTGTGTAATCAACTCAGAACGATATGCATCTCTTGATTATTGTAGCTTGTTCGGCGTTTCCGTTTCCAGTGGTAGCAATAATAGTAGCAGTAGTAGTAATCTTTGTGGTAGCAATAATAGTAGCAGTAGTAGTCTTAGACGTCGGAGGAGTAATTCACTTCTTCATACTTATATCAACAAAATATGTTAGCGGGCGTTTGGTTCCAATTCTCTGAGGTCACTCCCAATCTCCGACCTCTCTCTCCAGCTCGACAGCACTCGACGACAGACCAGCCAACCACTCTTTGATTCTTCCATCTGCCTCTTCTGTCTGGCCTGTAGCACCCCGACCCATAATGGTCGCCTGCGGGTGCCCACACATGATGACATACAGCAACGATGATGTGCCGACAAACCACGGTCTCTCCCATCTCTCTCTTCCGTCTGCACTCGACAGCAGTCCAACCAACTATTCTGTCAACAGATTTCTGTGCGCGTTTATATAAATAAGCCTGGCTGATCACAAATCGACCATGTGATTATCATGAGTGTCACTGTCAACCCAAAACCATGTGAGTTTCAAAGTTCTCATAGCCTGAGTAAGCTCTATTTCAATTTTAACCGATAAAAGCTATTTCGATCATTTTTTCATTGTCTTTTTTAATGATCCAATTTCAGATGAGCAAGATCAGGTTTCCCTCAGTAAACAAAATTGTTCTGATCTAATTTCACTGTTCAAATCCACTCCAATTTCAATAAAAAATAAAATAAAATATGTATGTGTGTGGGTGTTTGTGCGTTTCCCAAACTCTCTCTGTCACAGAACACTCACCCGCATTCTTGCAAACAGAGCAAACATTTGACACCTACCACAGATCTGGGAAGGATTTCTCCTTCATGCAGTCGTTAAATAGTTTCTCTAAGATTGGGAATAACTCAGGATAATATTCTTAAGAACAACAACTGGGATTTTATCAGGACTAGTAGCTTTCTTATGAAAATGAATAAATAAAAGATAGACATCCAGGTATTAAAAAAAAAAAAAAGGCAAACATTTCATGAGGAAAGAGCTGTAAAAATAATATAATGGCAAAAGGAAATGCTGGTCCAACAAAGCTTGTAAATGTATTCGCAAGGCTCATCTCAAACATCGTTGGTCCAGTAAGTGTGGTTCCAAAAAAGGTAAATCATCAATATTGGTGTCATTATGAAAATGAAAGATTCTAGAAGCGAATGCAATTAATTTAAATTACTGAGATCACTGGTGTGCACAGATGAAACTGAAATATTACTCTGAGTATTATCCCCAAATTTTGTCAAAACATTTCTCAATAAACTGTCTAGATTCAGGATTGAAATCACTTCCAGAATCCTCCCTGTTGTGGCCGATAAAAGTAAAAAAAAACGTAATTCAAAAATGTTAAAAACAAGTCACATGGACGTAGTCATGTTTTATAAATCAATCTCTTTTGCTACAGAGTGCAAAAACATCTCAAATGACTGGTTTGACATGATGGGTATCAAGTGTATGTTTTTCATGCAGAGTTGGGCAGTATGGAATGGAAGCACAAGTGTGTGTGTGCAGTGTTGAGTAGTACGAGATGTGAAGAGTTTAAAAAATTTATTTATAATAAAAATTACATTTCACTAAAGAAAATCATATTTTGCATATCCCATACATATCAGAAAGTCACCATATATACTAAGATTATATTATTCAACAGAAATGCACACAACTAATGCACACTGGGACCCAGTAAGTCTGCCAGTAGTAGACTTTGTGCTATCTATTCCTGTTCAGTTATAACAAGATTTTTGTAATGCTGTATTGGAACAATTCTGTGACATTTGCAATGGATGACAAATTTAATGTAATGAGTTGGTCGGTCAACTTGACACCCCCAAAGTGAGTAGAGGTGGGCAGGTGCGGGAACTGTGATTGGTAGCTGGCTTGTTGGTGTTTTGCATAGGTGAGTTACCAAGCTCTATGTAAAGGGCTGGAATGAGAAGGAGGGCAGTGTTTTTCAGTCTCAGAAGTGGAGACTGTGTTCGTCGCTACGACTGCTGGGAGAGAAAGAGACGAAATCATTTATTTTTTCGTGGCACATTCCAACACATTTAATATACCTACATAAATTTTTGTGTGAAGTTCAGCAAAGTCTAGAACTCAGAAGAATGAGGAATGATAACCAGTCAGATATTTTATACTTTTTTGTTTCTTTACAGTACTGATGTCAAACTGACTCTTTTGTTTACCTAAGCACTATTTCTAATATAGAAAATCCAACAGTTAAAAAATTTTATATTGGGAGTACCAAGAATTCTTTTGAAACAAGGTGGTATCAATATATATATTATCTTTTGTCAATAACATTTACAAAAATATGACATCCCTTTCTAAATATTTTTGGAACTTAAAAGAAGTTAACAAAACTCTGAGGGTAAAATGGAAAATACTAAAAAAAAGCTAGAACCTGTAAATCTTTAAATGAACCTTGTTTATGCTTACATGAAAAATTAGAAATTATCTAACTTGCTGACAAAAAAATCTCTGCTAAACCAAAGTGAATTAACTGAAAATTGCCAAAACAGTTTATCTTTTACCTTACAATATAGTTACATTTAAAAATTAGGTAGTACAATTTCTTATGGCCATAATTTATTAGTAAACAGTCCACCCTCTACAATTATTTTGTTTATTTAAATTTAGTAGTGCAATCCAGTTAGTATTATTTATATATAGATGTTCCCCATTTTTAATTTTATCAACAGGTTCCTTTAAGAAGCTTCTCGAATCTGAAATTTAAAAAAAAAATTCTGTTGAAATTAAATTTAGATCTGATTATCCCCTTCCCCTCAGCATCCTTTGAAAAACTGAACATGTCGTCATATTTGTCTACAATCACAATACATTTGTTGCTTACAAGTTTTCTTTAATGATCAATGACAACTTAAGTTTCGGTTTATCATATCATGAAAAAATAACTCCCCCACCTCCATCCTCTGAGCTTAATTTTCTATTTAATTAGATCTGGCATTTAATTGGTTGATCAAGGCAAACACACAAGTTTATTTTTAATTCTGATCTTGTGCATTTTTTTCCATCATTCCCCCGACTTAATCTTTCGGAAGAGGTAACACTTTGCTTTTGAAATTTTCTTTAAAATTATTTAATCA